TCAAGGCTTTCCTTATGCCTTAAAATGCGAGCTCGAATTACAGTTCATTTCAGAAACATCTTCAGTCTCTGGTTCATGGTGTTTCTCTATTGAACAGCAAACGCAAATCAACCTAGAATCATAATATAGCGCAAGTAGAAGTTGTAATGATTACACAATCAATTTCCTTTTGATTAATCGTTTTAAATTTTGCAACAAACATGGTTTTGATAACCATTAACAGTTGCAATTCTAGCAATTCCCTTCGAACAGTTGTTAAAATATCTCAAGAAAACCAATAATGGTTGCATAACAATAATTGTTTTGAGAATTATTCCCTCAGGGTATAAGTCACTCCAAATAATTCTCACATAAATGGAATAAAAACCGTAGCCCTAAGTTTAATATAGTTGAATAGTTACAGTGAATCAAGTTAATTCACTTCATTTATGAGTTTTTGAGATTTTAATTGATTTAACAATGAAGTCTGATAAAATCACCTATTTATAAAAAAATGGGAAATAGGAGTAGTAAAAAAGTCTATCTACAAATGTGAAATAATAAAGAAAGAAGCTCGCGTCGATAGAAGCCCCTACACAAACTACGCAGGAAAGAATATACCTGGAAGGAAAGTCTAAGAAGATTACAAGTAAGTTAATTTTTGTTTTTGTTTATACTGTTACTTATTTAACAGACGCGTATTGTTATTAGCGTCCTAACGGCTGAGACTTTTGTAAAAGTATACAAAAATTAAACCAACGAAATTTGACACCCTGAAATATAATTTCTAAAATTATTGGGTTATCAAGGTTTTCTTGCTATAAAAAGTTGTTTAGGTCTACAAAGGAAACTTACCTAGTATAACCTAAATAAACTGAATATTTTATGACCAACCTTAACCTATAGTAAATCCTATTTTATTTATCCCTAAGTAAAGTAATTTAAAGGCGTAAGCCCTTGAATGAGTTTTCTAAGCCAGAACGAGGTGTAAAATTTTTTTATGAAATATAAACACCATCTAGAAATCAAAAGGTATGCAATTTGGCTTTATGAATATTCACTTTGTGACAAGTGACAGATTAAGAAGGCTGGGCAACCTTTTGTAGGTAAGACAACTCCCTCGTGATGAACGTGGACAAAGTAATTCAGGAAATGCTAAACCTGAAAGTGTAATAAACACGGTGCTTATCCAACAAAAAAAACTTACTATGGTAATACTGAAAAACATTTTCTTAATGAAAAACTTTCTGTTCATGACATGCACAAGGCGTGCCAATAGAAGTATCCTGGAATCAATGTAAATTACAAATATTTGAAAATAATTAGGCAGTAATTTTCATTGAGGTTTGGATTACCTCAATAAAACACATGCCACACATGTAATGGGTTATAGATAAAAAATAAAACTAAATATTTAAGCAACTATGTTAAGTCTGCTGCAGCTGTTGAGAAAGTAGTTTATATTTGCAGAGCCAAAATAATTTCCAGAAGATTTAAAAGAAATTGCACAAAAACATCAAGATGATGATAAAAAAGGAGAGATTTGTATAGATTTTATGCAAAATCTGCAACTTTTTTTTTGTTTTTAGTTAGGTGCTCGCGGAAGTCCTTACGGTCTTATCACAGAGCACCGTGTAAGAACATTTAACAGGAAGTTCACTCCTCCTTCCGTACCATTGTCGCTTGTTGGACTTGAGATGACGTCGAACCCCGGACCTCTGGGTTCTGAGCCAGAACTCTAACCACTGCGCCACGGCCGCTTGCAAACCAGGATTTACCTGTGGCAGCTGACCGTTAGTGTTTTCTGCATACAAAACTTTTGCGATAAATGTATCAAATTCTTTTTTTGTATCATGAAGGGATTGGTGCAAAGAGACCTGATGAAGTTTGCTCCTTTCTAATAAAATATATAGAAACTTCATGCATTGATGTGGAAGAGTTGCATGAGTTATCTGACAGGTGCTGGGCTAAAGCAAAAACCACAACCTTGTTAGACTATATTCTACACTAATATCACTAAACAAGGTTAAGAGTGTTGACTAATATTTTTTTGTGAGAGGTCACTCTTTTTTTCCTTGTGATTGGGATTTTTCTGTCTCTGAAAGGACAAAATCCGGAAATCTATTGGATTTATACCTTAAAAGAGTATAATAATTTGATTCTGCCATCCTCCAAGAAAAATTAATTTTCTGTTATCATTATAAAAAACATGAGTTTTTAAAACTAAAGTGTTGATTTTTGTCTTTTTTTTTAGAAATCCATAGGTAAAAGTAACCTTTTTTGGTTTTTATGTTTGTTCATTTCAGAAACAACATAAGTCAGTGAATTACAAAATTTCTAAAAAAATGTTAAGTAAATCTTTTTTCAAAATTTTATTTTCATTTCCCAAAAGTCCTCATTTCCCAAAAAATTTCCCAATTTTCCCAAATGTTTCCCGCTTTTCCCAAAAATTTCCCAAAAGTTACCATTCCCCGAAAATTTTTATTTCCCAAAATTTGCTTTTTTTAACTCATTATTTTTTTGAATTTGTTTATGACTCATTATTTTTTTGAATGACCCATTATTTTTTTGACTTAAGTTCAATTAATTTTTATGTTTTTGTTTAACTTATTGTTTAACTTTGTTTTAGTTAGTATTAAGTATATTTGGTAGATTTTTGAAAATCATAAACTTTTCGTTTTTTTTTCCCAAAAGTTTTTTTTTTTTACTAATGTCTTTTGCTCAATTAAATTCAATGTTTTTATTTAACTCACTGTTTCTTATTAATTTTTTTTCGTAGCATTATTGTAGCATTGTTTTGTTATTTTCTAGGTTGAAAGGATTGGGAAATCTAAGGATTCATTACCTAATATAAATTTTATCACGTTATATTAGATTTATTACTTTATATTATATATTCTATTCAATATTGATTCTTAATTTCAAAATTTTCAATTTTTAAATTTGCATTTAAAAATATAAATGACTGTCTTTGTTTAAAACGTCTATTTTTGTTTTATTATTCATATTTTCTTTTATTGTATTTTTTATTGTTTAAATTTAAACATAAAAGAGTCTATTGTTTTGTTGTGTGTGTTTCTTGCTTTGTCGACACAAACATGGAAATGCAAGATATTTGATTTGCTACAAATGAATATAAATGATAAGTAATTATCTCTGATTTAGTACATAGCCGGACACTAAATGAATCTAGAATGTCTAAAAGTAACATAATTAGTGGGTTTAAGCCACCAAACCCATTCATTCCGACGACTACATTTTCAGAAAATAATATAAAATACGTAGTCTACTGGCAGTGTAATTATTGTAGAATTATCTACAATAATTACACAGCCAGCAGACTGCGTATGATTTTTTTGCACTATCTTAATCGATAATCAGTAAGTTCGGTAAATTTTTCCCGAACCTTATGAGATAACAAGTCAGACAAAATAACCCCTACTTGGCCAGGTTTATTGGTATTTACCAATGGCGATACTTAATAGTAAGTATCTCCATGGTTTTTACGCAAAAAATTAGGATTCTAGTATAAAATAAAATAATTAGATTTTTTAGAAAAAGTTATAGATGATTTGAACAAATTATGGAAAAAAAAAATAAATATAATTAATTGTTTGAAAATCTGTTGGATTTAAAGTAATGTAAACACTGAAAAAGTAGCTGTAAGGTAATATACATAATATAGGAAAATAACTTACCAATTGTTACTTACTAGTTGTGTTTTTTAAAAAAAAGTATGGAAACGGGCAATTTTAAAAATAAAGCCGTATAAAATGCTATTATTTATCCAATCTGTGTGTCTTTTCCTGAAATTAATAAATTCCCAGTGGGAAGAAAAACATCTTTAGACCAATAAAAGGCGTCTTTTTATGACTTGTTATGTCTTTTTATAATGAGCCAAAATAAAGACGTGGAAAGACGTCTTTTAAAAAGACGTCTTCAAAAAAGAGGTGAAAAAGACGTCAATCGGTTGTTAATAAGGAAATCATTATTTGCTTAAGAAAATTAAAAATAATTATTGCCAATACAACCTAACAAAAATGGGTTTTAACCCACAGCATCGTAATTACGATATCTTTGTTACGTTCTGATTGGCCCGTTTTTGTTTACAAAATACTTTTATATAACTTTTATGTGAAACGTTTTTGCATAGGAAATTTAAATAAAAATCAACTTTTTTTGGTAAGCGGGTTTATTTAATAATTTATATAATAAAGTAATATATTATGTAAAATATACATAATATAAATGCATATATATATTATAGTATATATATATATATATATATATATATATATATATATATATATATATATATATATATATATATATATAATGAATATATATATATATATATATATATATATATATATATATATATATATATATATATATATATATATATATATATATATATATATATATATATATATACTGAAATAAATATACAATTGCAGCTGCTTAGCAAAAAAAATGTTAGTCGGAAGAAGCAAAAGTGGATGGCGTGGTGCCAGTAAGATGGTATCGATATGATCTAGTCTTAATTAAGTTAGTCGTAGGTAAGTGTTTAAAAAAGATTTTACCATTTATTTTTAGACTAATTTTTTAATGCGTTGTGCTTGAAGAACGTTGTTTATTACATATTAAAATAAAATATTTATTTTCAGACGAAAAATAAAACCTGTAAACAATTTCTCTCTATATTTACTTGTTCAGGTGCCAGTGAAACAAACGATAAAAAAAAAGAAGCATTCAGTAGGCTTGCAATTTTTTTTATATATATTTTTAAGTGATCTGAACAATTTTGTTGTTTTTATTTAGTTGAATGATGAAATTGTTTATACAAAGGATTAGCTCTTTAACTTTTATGTTAAATATGTTATTTCCTTTTTAACTGTTGTCTGTCATTAATAAAGCAATTATAAAAATACACATAATGACAACAGATTTAACTTTAGAAATGTTCGCAAAATTTTTTATTTGAATATGATACTGGAAAAGTACACTTTCTTATATCTAAACATCATTGCAGTCTTCATTTTTGTTTATGTGTATTTCATCTGTGTTGCTAATGATATCGCTAGTTTTTATTATTTTATGTTGTTAAGTAAAGCATCCTTATGTTTCAGGCTAAAATAGAGCTTTGACTAATACTTTTTTAAAATTTAAATGAATAACAACTCTCAAGGTGTTTTAACTGAATTAACTTTTTGTTTTGATATTTTTTAGTCAATAACGGATTTTTAAATTGTTATGAGTCTACAACACTTAATTTCAGCGAAATTCAATTAAAAAATCATGTTGTATAAGACATAAAAATATCAATATTTTGTTTTTAATAACTTGGCTTTTATAGTAAATCTGAGAGGTGCTAATGTTTAGCTTGATTTAAGTACTACATAATAAAATACATTGTTGTACAGTCATTTTGATGGTTGTAAATTTATTTAGCACACTCGTTTTTATAGATTTTTAGACTGTTTACCGTTTAATTCCTGTCTCAATCTAACGTAGTGGGTTCAAAAAGAAGGGACTGCGCTGGAAACATGAGTGGATTAAAAGGATCAGCCCTTTTTGAATTAAAAATGGGTAAGTATAATGTGCTCGAATCAGCTAATCAAGTTTCGTTTGCTTTTTTTGATTTACATTTAAACAATAGACTGTTTTTTAAGTTTATTCGTTTTTTAGAAGTGGTAACCAGCTAGAAGGCGTAACCTGCTCGTACGAAAGGATTTCTCGACGTGAAATTGTTAATTTTATTCAACAACGCCAAGAAATAGAGCTAGCTCAAGAAATAGAAAATAAAGAGAAAGATGAAAAATATTCTGTTGAACAATACTATTGTTTTATTTATAAATTATTTTCCTATATTTAAACATATAAAAAATGTAGAAAATGCTTCCTCTTTTATATTGACATTTAAAAAAGGATTTTATCTCGACATCGGAAAAATCTTTTTTTCATACTTTGTATGAAGAGCTATTATAATTTTCCTTTGAAAAAAAAGCTATTCATATAAGAAAAGTAGCAATACTATAGTGCATAGGATACTATAGTATACTAATAAGTATGGTAAAAAAGTCGTTCCGACCCCGAGAAAAAACACTTTTTTAGATTTGCATATTCGACTAAAAAAAAGACGTTTTAAAGACGCAATTTTATGTCTTTTTATGACAAGATTAAGATAAAAAAGACGTCTTTTCGATGTCGAAAAATGATGCCTTTTAAATTTGCATATTCGACTAAAAGAAGGCGTCTTAAAGACGCATTTTATATGTCTTTTTATGACAAGATTAAGATAAAAAAAGACGTCTTTTCTATGTATAAAAAGATGTCTATTAGATTTGCATAATCGATTAAAAAAAGACGTCTTAAAGACATCGTAAATAAGACTTTTAAAAACGCCTTTTCAACGTACTTTTTTTTATTAACGAGTTAATTTTATGACATAATTTGAAAGAGTTTATATAGCGCTTTTCGTTGTTTTCATTGCCCAGCAAGCACATAATGTTATTTCAACGTTATTTCAACATTGAGAAATGGTTTATATATGGTTGAAAAATAACGATCTAAATTTCAATGATATTTTAACGTTAGTTCAACGATAAAAAAAAACGTTGAAATTTCAACGTTGATTCAACGCTGATTTTCAACTGAAAACAAACATTGAATTAACGTTGAAGAATAAACGTTGAAAATACACTGAAACTTAGAGTTGAGAGTTCGCCGACGCAAATATAGGGGAGATGGAGGCGCATTGATCGCCGGGGCTGTATGATCTTTTAGCTTTTACTCGTTTACTTTTGCCTTAATTTAACAGAGATAGCAATTTAATTAACCATTATACTACCCTTCATTGCTTAATTGTAAAAATTTTTGATAAGATCAACTTCAGCGTTAAGAAAATTGAAAAGACTGTTTTTCATCATGAAAAGTAATTTTTGAAAGTTGTAAACAAATTCAAATAAATTTTTAATTAAATTTATTCATATAAGTTAAGTTTATAACAAATTTTGTTTTTTTGAGTTGGTTACTGTATTTATAGAAGTTATTGGCATCAATATATCAACAGTGGCGGATTATCCATTAGGCTGAGTAGGCTGAAGCCTAGGGGCCCGTCAGCCATAGGGGCCCGGTTCGGAAGATGATTGCAAATTTTTTTTACAGCAAATATCGATATAGGTATGTATCATGGATAAATGAATGTATCAGAACCAAATGTTACTTTTAAACTTAAAAATCAATTTTGTAGCCCAGTTATGCTGCCCAAATGTTTGTTGATTACTTTGTCTTAGTCAAAATTTTGTTTTATCAGAACCAAATGTTATTTTTAAACTAAAAAATCAATTTTGTAGCCCAGTTATGCTGAGAATAGTATTCTTGAACAAATTGACACTACTGACAGCATACATAATTGTAGATATTTTTTGGGATGCTTTATGCATATCGTTAATATAAATTAATAACAATAATGGACCTAGGACTGAACCCTGAGGAACTCCACACGTAATATCGAGGGCTCCTGACTTTTCTAGTAATACAAATTGCTTTCTGTTAGACAAATAGCTTTGAATCCACTTAAATGTTGAGCCTATTATACCGTAATATTTTAGTTATACCGTTATATATATATATATATATAATAATGCAGTATCTACATTGTATGTTTTTCGATTTCAGGTCATAATGGCAAATCATCACAAGTCTGGGTATCAAAAAGCTAAAGAATGTGAAGATAAAAAGAAACGTGAGGAAGCGGTCATTTCAAAAACTGTTAAAATAACTGAGCTTTTTTTTCTACGATTAGTGTCAATGTCAATAGAGAAGACCCACCATCGAATTCACCTTTACCATGTGTTGGTCAGTGTGGTTTGCCTGGTCAATTTGGTCATGAATTTGAACGTGATAACAGTGTTGCAGCTGTATGCACTCAATCTATCTCTCACTCTGAATCTGATGATATGGTGGACGCGGAGACACTTTCTCAGAAACCAGAAGCACAAGCTGGTTCCAAAGGTGATGACAATTCCTTTTCCACTGACATTGGGCAATGGTCTGAAGTGGAAATCAATGATACATTCTGTAACTTTTGGGTAACTCGTGGCAGTGAATGTTGTCAAGATTCAAATGCTGACTTCACTAGTTCAATGCAAATTGATGGAAAACAGAAGCGCTACTGCTCACAGAATCTCTTTTATCGTGTTCATTCTCGCAATGGTGAGAAAGTCCCAAGGTCATGGTTGTGTTATTCACCAGCAACATCTCGCATTTACTGCTTTGTATGTAAATTATTTTCTGCTGATGATAATTCATTCTCAAGGAATGGTTTTTGTGATTGGAAAAATGCAGCTTCACGAATACAGTCACATGAAAACACCATTGCACATAGAAATGCAACAATCACATTCAGCCAAAGAGTACAAGTCAGAGGATGTGTAGATTCAGCAATAGTTGAGCAATACAGACAGGAATGTGCATATGCAAAATCTGTGCTAGAAAGAGTTGTCTCAGTTATCAAATTCCTTGCTGAAAGAGGGCTCGCATTTAGAGGACATACTGAAATATTGGGGTCAAGTTCTAATGGCAATTTTTTGGGAATTTTGGAGTTGATTGCTCAGTTTGATCCACTCCTCTCCAGTCATATTGACAACCATGGTGGTAAGGGGAAAGGCTCTGTTTCATACCTGTCATCAACAATTTGTGATGAGTTAATTGATGTCATGGGAAAGCAAGTTATGAAAACAATATTGTCTGAAATACGTGGAGCAAAATTTTATTCGATTTCTGTTGACTCTACTCCAGACATATCTCATGTTGATAGGCTGTCATGTGTCTTTCGATATGTTTTGAACGATGGCCCTATAGAAAGGTTTGTGCAATTTTTAAGCATGAAAGGACATAGGGCAGAAGATTTGTTTAACAGTTTATACAGCTTTCTGGAAGAAGCAAAGTTGGATATAAAATATTGCCGAGGTCAGTTCTACGATAATGCTAGCAATATGGCAGGAATGTATTCAGGGTTACAGGCACGCATTCGAGAGAAGAACCCATTGGCTGAATATGTGCCATGTTTTGCACACTCCCTTAATTTAGTCGGTGCATCAGCTGTAAACTGCGTGACAACAGTGAGTGGATTTTTTGATTATGTACAAAACTTGTATGTCTTTTTAAATGCATCAACCCAACGGTGGGAGCTTCTAACCAAAGGATTGGATAGTAACCAGTTAGTTCTAAAACGCCTTTCTGATACTCGATGGTCAGCACATTCTGCAGCAACTAAAGCATTGAGCAAAGGCTTTAATAATGTTAAGACAGTGTTAGAGAACATTGCTGAGGACCCCGAGGAGAAGGTTGAAGCTCGCACTACAGCTGCAGGAATTGCAAAGAAGATGGATCAGTTAGAATATGGAATTTTATTAGAACTCTGGACACCCATATTAGATCGCTTTCATAAGACCAGTTTAAAACTGCAAAGTCCACAATTTGATCTAAATGAGGCTGTTCAACTGTTAACTTCACTAAAATAATATGTAAATTCACTTCGAGCACAGTTTGATTTCTTTGAGAAGAAAGGAAAGGAAATAACAGGGTCAACTTCTTATAAAGAAGAGAATCAGAGGAAACGAAAGCGAAGTGTTCAATTAACCCATCATGATGGATCAGCTGATGAAACAGTGTTTTCAGCACAGCAGAAATTTCGAGTCATGGTTTTCTTGCCAGTACTTAATCACTTGAATTCAGCATTATGTAAACGATCAGAGGCATACAGTGGTGTATGTGATAAGTTTGGTTTTCTGAGAAACATTCGGTCACTGGAACAGTCTGATTTGCGAAGAGCCAGTAGAAACTTGATAGATACTTATGTAGATGATTTAGAAGAGTCATTTGAAGATGAAATACTTCACTTCAAAGAATATTTGTTAGCTGATACGTACTTGCAACAGAATAAGAAAGAACTGAAATGTAGCATAGAGCTGTATATGTATCGGGCTTTGAGAAACAGCAGTGCACTACAAGATATATTTCCAAATGTTGCCACAGCACTTCACATATACCTCAGTTTGATGATCACCAACAGCAGTGATGAAAGATCATTCTCTGCATTGAAACGGATAAAAAACTATCTGCGAACTGCTTTGGGTGATGACAAACTGAATTCCCTTACTGTTATGTGTACTGAATCTGACATCCTAAAAAGCTGTGACTTCAATGAAATTTTATCAGACTTTGTTGAACGAAAATGCAGAAAAATGAATTTTTGATCGTGTTGTTGTTTTCTTTGGGTCAGCCATTTATAAAATATATACTAGTATCTAATATACCTGATATTTGTTTGTAATTTTGAAATAAAATTAGATTTTAATATAGATATTATTATTATAAATAAAATTAAAATTGCACTTTTTGACGTATTTTTTAGAAAAATATAGGTATATAGGGCCCATGAATTAGTTAAGCCTATAGGCCCATAATTTGATAATCCGCCACTGTATATATATATATATATATATATATATATATATATATATATATATATATATATATATATATATATATATATATATATATATATATATATATATATATATATATATATATATATATATATATACAGTATTTATAAAAGACCATATATCTTAGTAATATTATTATTATTATTATATTTTCTTTGCCGTATAATTAAATTTACAATGAGAAAAAACCATTCATGTATAAAAATTGGCCGGAACAAGAAGAAGACATAAACTGTCTTATCGCCAAGCCCCGTTTACATTAACGTCACAAAGTTACAAGTTAAAAACTAAAAGGTTAAAAATTGAAGTACAATACAATATTAGTTCGACAAATATAAGACACAAGTAATAAATCAAATAAATGTTATTTGTCTGTTCAAAATTAATAGTATATATATTTTTTATTTTAATAAGCAATAAACAAGATACACAAGACAATAGTAAATGAGTAGTGATGACTTTTTCAGGTTTAATTATTTTAGGTGATTTTAGAAGAAATCTTTAAAATTGAAAGTTTTTTCTAATAGAAAACGTTTAGATTCTCTTTTGAATTGTTCTAAGGAGATGCCTCGAAGAATTTTATTTTTAATTATATTTTTTAAAAAACCTTTTCATATAAATGGTCCTCGGTATTGAATTTGAAATAAATTGAGTTTTAAATAAGATCTTGGAATAACAAAATTATCAGATGAAAATTTAGTGGGATATTTATGAGATATTTTGGTAAAGTAAGACTGAAATATATTAGGAGATAACGCATGTTTTGTTTTAAACGTAAATAGCATAACTTGGTATATATTAAGTTTCTAAATATTAAGCACATTAAGTATCTTTAAAAGAGATTCACCATTAACAGTTCTGTTAACGCCAAAAATAATCCTACAAGCATGTTTTTGTTTGCTATAAATTTTTTTGAGCTTCCCATAATTGGTACTTGCCCATGCAAGATTACAATAGGAAAGATAACTATGAATAAATGAGAAATATATAATTTTTAAAGATTCCGTATTATGAAAAGGTTTAACTTTATACAGCATTGAAATACTTTTGGAGATTTTATTTTCAATAGATCTAATATGATATTTCCATGATATATTTTCATCTAATATCACTCCTAGAAAGTTAATAGTTGACTCTCTTTTAATAACTTTTTTGTTCATAAAGAGATCATGTAGTTTTAAAAAAAGGTTATCACCTTTACTAGGTTTGTGGAACAACATAAATTTAGTTTTCCCAACATTTAATGAAAGTTTATTATTCGTAATCCATTCATTTATTTTTAATAACTCTTCATTAAAAATTCTAAACTGATCTTTAATATTTCTGTTAGAGTAAAAAAGATTTGAGTCATCACCAAACAAAATAACGTTTAGAATTTTGGATGCTAAATACGAATCATTAATGAATTAACGAATTAATTTATTCATTAATGTATTCATTAATGAATACAAATCATCAATATCATGATTAGTTATCATAAGCTAATGAATGTATAATTTATTTTATATACATAAAGTAAAATATATATAAAGTTTCGTATGAATTTGTAGATAAACTTAAAAACACGCCATATTTAAATAAAGTTGCGCATGCGCATTGCGTTGTTTTCGGCTTTAAAAAACGTTTTTTAAAGTCCCACGAAATACGAAATTATATGATAGAAAAAAACCTATTAAAACAGTTTTTGAACGTTTTCTGAACGTTTTACTTATACAAACGTCCTTCAAGCGACCATAAAACGTTTACAAAACGTTTGAAAAACGTACTTGTGGCCACTGGGTAGATACTGTTTTTTGTGGGCGTTTAATAAATTACTATCTCATTTTGAATAAGCAGTTGTTCAAAATACTGTTTTATTATTGCAGAATGTAAAAACTTGTCCACTGAATTAACACTTAATAAAAAAATTAAAAAATCAGAGTATTGTATTATCACAATACCATATCGGAATGTTGTATTATCATAAAAACTTAAATTGCAATGAAAATATATGATATTGCAATGAAAATGTATGGTGTACATTTTCTTCTTTAAAAAACATATATTTTAAAGACATTGCTGTTAATCATATTGAAGAACCGATAAAAAACATCCGGGGATTGATTGTCAAAAAATGTTCTTTATGATGCACTACCAAAGGCAAATAATGTCGAATTTATTATTTAATAATTCAAAGAGGTTATTGCAAATTATTGAAATACCTTTTGAATTTTAAGCTTTATAGTGCGTTATTCTAATAATTTATTATTATTTATACAATTACAGTTGTATGGTCAGTATGGTAAGAAACAACACATTGATTTAATACGTAAAAAATAATGCATTTTTCTATTATGAGAATTGTTATACAGGCTTACTTGCACAATTAAACATATTTCATTCAATTGATTAAAAAATATTTTTACCTAGACTCATATTTTGTTGAACTTCTGTTTGCGAAATCATTTGCGATATAAGCTGCTGCTGTACAAATCTGAGGAAGTAGTCCGTTACATATTCCGTTGTTTTAAACAGTTTTTTTTTTTTATGTGTAGTAAAAACATGAGTTTGAGGTTTAATTTTTAAAATTTTAAGTTATTATGATAAATAATTTATTCTTTTACTTTTATGCATTATAAAAGTAAAAGATGTGAGCGCTCAGTGCCTGTCCGCCCTACGTAATAATTGACTTTATAATGATCGTATGCCTATATCTTTTTTAAATTTTTAATTGATTGATGGTTTAAAGTGTCTCCTCCTACAGTAACGTCACTAAAAAGTGCTTTCTTTGTTTACAGAAAAAAACTTGATTATTTTATAAAAAGTAAAACTCTGTTTAAAACGCTGTTTAAAACTCTTATTATGCTTGAAAATAGTTTTTGCTGTTTTTCAGTTTGCTTTTTTTGCTGTTTTTTTTTTATTCTTTATGAACTTTTTTTGTTTTATCCCATGTTGTCTGTGTTGTCACGTGATATTCAAGCAATTAGAGGATGTTGCTAGTCTGATGACATTTTGTACCGCACCTCTTGTATGCTTAGCAATGATGATACCTGACGCTGTGAATATTGTTCACCGACTAATGTGTTAAACTGACCTTTTTGAATATCAGTAAAATCACATTTTTCACTCATTTAGTGTATGTTTTTCGTTTTTTGCGTATTTTTTAACTCTTGATTAAACAAAAAAAAAAGTTTTAAATTTTTTATTAATTTGATCATTGTTGTTATTTGCGAAATAAGCAATATTTCATAAATATATAAAATAAATTTGTGTTTAACATCAAAAGATCTGCTAGACTTATTGTTTTTTATTATATAAGTTATTATTCGTTTAATTTTTTAAAACCTGTTTTTAGTTAACATTTTATATAAAATTATGTCATTCTTACAATAATTTTTTTTTTTTTGTTTTTTTTTTTGTTGTTTTGCTGTTTCATATATTTACAATAAAGACATATTACATTTATAAAAATTGGCCGGAGCAAGAAGAAGACAATGACTGTCTTATCACCGAACCCCGTTTACAAAATGTCCGTGTTTATAAACAAATATGAATAAAATACACAAAAATAACGTTAAAGAGTACATAACTTTTGTCAAATAATAAAATGACAATTGTATTAAAAATTTAAAAATAAAGTTTTGAATACTAATACAAATATATTTGATACATATAACAAAATATATTTAGTAATAATGGAAAAGTTTTTTCTATTTTTTAATTACCTTTAAAAAAAAAATAGTTATAGTCTATTGCATTAAAATCTAATTGAAGTATAATAATTCAATAATTTCACAATAATAGTTCCAATTACCTGAAGTTTAAGTTTGCATTATCATAAAAACCTTTATTGCTATGATAATGTATGAGAAGTTACATAGTTGTTGATCAAAAAAATATCTATAATTGATGTAAATAACATATTTGAAAACTCAATAAAAAACATTCGGAGATTTGTTTTAAAAAAAAGTTTTTTATGATGCACCACCTAAGGCGAGTTTCGTCAAATCTTTTAAAGAATTTATAACCATTTATAAAAAAATTTTCTAAATTTTAAAATGTGCATTATTCTAATAATATAATACTATTTACAAAACCATAGTTTTATGATCATTACGGTAAACTTACACTCACAATTAAACATACTTTATTCAATTGATAGAAGATGTTTTTGCTGCACCCATTAAAGATTGTCCGTAAATTACGCAACGGGATATTTCACTAGTAAGCAAAACTCAAAAGATCAAAAGTTTTCCCTCGCGCAGACTTAAGTTATAAAAAAAAAATAAAAATTGAAAATTGCTGCGTAAAAGAGCTCAAGATCTCCTACATCTGTTTTTTAAATGAATTTTGTGTTGCGTAATTTATGGTCGATCCCTAAACTGTTAAACTTCCGTTTGTGAAATCATTTACTATATAAGCTAAAGGCATACAGAAAATCTAAGGTTTGAATTTATATTTTTTAATTTAACAAATACTGCTAGCAAAATGTTTTTTAAGATAGTTGCTTTGTTGCTGTTAATGCAAGGTAAAAAAAGTTTATTTTAGTTTATTGATTTATCTTTTGATATATACTAGTTATTTTGTAACCTACCCTGTCAAGTTTGACTAATTTAACCCCACTCGTAACCTTAAATCTGTAACGTTTAAGTTTCTTTAAAAAATTTATTATTTCATCATATATCAAAAAGTTCGAAACATATCAGTGTTGTACCTATACAATTTTTTTAATCTCATAAAAAATAACGAATGCCACTACCAAAAAAAAAAGAACCGCAACCTCCTAGATCTACGGAGGAATCCGAGGAAAAATGCCGACGAAAAGTTAAAACTGACATAAAAACAGCATGTTTAAAAACTGCGGGGCGTCCACACATTCTTATTGGTACAAAGCTGCACACAATTTATTCCCTAACACACAAATAGAGTCGTAAAATAATATTTGATTTTCAAAATGTTGTTCAAATTATTCTTGTTAAGATATTAGAAAAAGATATTTACTAGTTAAAAAAAAACTCGTGTTTTGATGCATTTTTAACCGTAACGTTTTAAAATTTGATAGCTAAAAGTTTCCAAAAGAACATGAGTTTCATAAACATTTTAACAGAAACAAATAATAAGGTTAGCTATAGCTGCCTTCCTAAGATTTGCAACATCATTACTTACCATAACAAAAACAAGGTAACATGGAAAAGAAAACCACATTATTGGATTTATGAATAAAACATCTAAAGATTAATGGTACAAGCTTCGATTTTTTTTTCTTTATGAAAGTAAGATTCTAAGTAAAATTCTGTATGAAAACATAAATTGGAAAGTAAGCATAAACATGGTTGAAAATAAAATTTCTAAAAATATCAGATTAGTCTATAAAGCAAAACCATACTTCGATCAATCATGTTTGAAATAAATATATTATTAATTTGTTCATTCTATCTTATTTATGCAAAGATTGCTTGGTGCAGCACCAATAAAATAAGATAAAAAAGCTATTTAGCAAACAAAAACATGCAATTAGAATATTATTGAATGCACACCGCTTCTCACATTCAAATAATTGTTTAACAATCTAGATATATTAAAATTGTTCCAAAAAATATATATCATCTTTTAAATTTTATGTATAAAACTAATAATAATACATCTTCAAACCATTATTTAATAAAATATAACGTAAATACGTGAATAAATATTCAAGTAACAACTTCGTTCAACCCAAAATTGAAAAAAGTGCATCAAGTTCTCAATAACTATTACAGGATGGAATATGATAATTAGTAATGATATTAAAGCACAACTAATGAACAGTTTAAACAAAAACTAAAACCATTACTTTTAAATTATGAACAAACGAATAATTGTTTTTAAAACTATCAATAAAAATATTATATTTGAAAATTATCTACTAACACTTTATTTGTCTGGAAAGGTCTAAAGTCTTTAATTATAAACATTATAGTAAATAATAACATTTGTTTGTTTAACTTCGGTTATGTTTAAAGATATTGATCAGCTTCGATAACTTTCTCGCTTGTTCCCAACTCTGAAAAATGCCAACGAAAGTAAAGTGGACCAATAATCCGGTTTTATTTGTATTAAGATCTCAATACATTTTACAACCTCTTCCAGGTCTTTTTTCCTTTTTCCTTAAAAATGCCTTAGACAGAAAACTAGAAATTTCTGTTCAAACTTTAGCGAATAAATTTAAGAAAAGTGCTTCCACTATACAAAGAGTGAAGGGAAATTGTGACTATAAATCTTATAAAAAAAATAAAGTTCCTCATCGTGAAGAAAAGCAAGAAAATATCGTAATTCGTTGTTCAAAGCTGCTCTATAAAAGATTATGTTCCAAAATTATTGATTATTGACGATGAAACTTACTGTGCTGCATATTTCTGATCTCTTCCAGGACACCAATATTGAGCAATTAATTGTAAAAAACTGAATTTCAGTTATAAATGCGTTGGAATGCTCTTGTTTTGCAACTAGGGGAACAATTAATACCAAAATATGCATTAAAGAATGCCTCAAGAAAAATCTTTTGCCGTTTTTAAGAACACACTGGTAACCCGTTCTTTTGGCCCGATTAAATATCATGTCACTAAACAGGAACAACTTTAAACAGGCTTTAAAAACATAAAGTAGATTTCGCTAAAAAACACTGCTATCCACCAAATTGTCCCGAACTACGTCCTATCAAAAGATATTGGGCTCTTGTCAAAAGAAAACTAAAGTTTAATGTAAAAGAAGCCAAAAACATTAAAGACTTTAAAAATAAATGGGTTAGAGCTACCTAGAAAATCCAGCTGAAAACTGTGCAAAAGCTGATGTCGAGTGTGAAGCGCAAAGTGTGTGCATTCTCACTCACAAAACTTCACAAACTTTCTTAAATGAAATTTAAGAATATTAATACATGTACTTTTAAAATATATATATCATTCAATATTGAAATACAATAGTTGAATAAATATCCTTTAGAATGTCCGTGCAGATTTTTTCTCGTACATGTCTTATTCCCCATTTTTTATAAACATTTCTATTCATGCTGATATGCCCAGCCATAACGTTTTTTTTGTGAAAAGCATTTAACACTCCAATATCTAGTTTTTGGACGCCTGCAATACAGATTTTATTCCAAGTACACTTGGAATATATAATTTGTTTATAATTATTTTAGCTGTTATTACTTGATGTGTATCATATAATAATATGAGTAGTTTTTTAATAGTCGGATTACATTTTTATAACAACATATAAATTCTATTCATTTATTTTTGACTTTAGCGTAAACTCTGATAAATGAGTTAAGTAAATGTCTATTTGCTGAATTAACGGAATTTTTCCATAAATTTTTATGTAAAAAATGAAATGCGAAAACCGTAAATTTTACAGAGAAAATGCAGTCTCTTAGCTGCCTGACATTCTCCGTTATTTTGTACGGAAAAAATGAAATACGGAAACCGTGAATTTTATGTAGAAAGTTCTGTAGTTTTTTTAACGAACTTTTTCCGTTGACTTTTACGGGAAAAAAAAACTACGGAAACCGTTAATTTTTACGGAGAAAGTGCTGTAACTTTGCTGCCGGACAATTTCCGTAGATTCTACGGCGAATTTTTTAACAGTGTATAAAAGTGTTTACGCTATAAAACTCTAAACTTTCGTTCTGAACACGGATACGATTTTATATCATGCGTTATATATATGTTTTTTTGCAAACATCTTTACTTCCAAAAAGGCTGCAAGCAATCGCTATTAGAGTTGGAAGTTAATGGAAGAGGAAAAATGAACTTTGTAGAGCAAGATAACGATTGACAGATGGCTTAAAAGACTGAAAATTGTATGAGTCAGAAAAACAAGATGAATAAATCGAATTCCAAAGAACTGATGTACGAGGAAAAAAACGACGAATATGAATTTTTGGAGCACTTAGTCGCAGTAAAAGAATGAGACTTATTTGAATGACGAGTAACACGAGAATGAGCTTTAGTAGATGGCACAAGAGACGCTAGCTTTTTAGAGCAGTGCCCTTTATAGTAATCAGAGAAAAGAGAAAGATAAGCAAAGCTAGGACAATGAGATGATGGTTGGAGAGCTGTAAGAACAGATTCAACAATGTTTACAATGAGTTTTTTCACCTTGTCTAACAGAGAAAGGGAATCATTCGAAGATCCGTTTGGAGGATTAGTCTTATATATGGTTTCAAGAAAGATTGAGTTAATTCTAAAAGACAAAATAAAAGTTAATTTTAAAAGACAAAAGTAAGATGACTCACCAAAAACATTACCGTTCATCAATATACAGAAAGATCTAGATTATTGCAATTACGAATAGCGGAAAAAATTGAGTTTTATTTGAACTAAATATCATAAGTCACTCAGAGCTTCATGCTGTAGCAGAAGTGTGTTTTTTTTTAGGCACAAATGCCTCCAATAAATCAATGGCACTAATGGAAAGAATATATAAAACATGGTAAGAATATATAAATCAATGGTAAAAATAAATTGTAGTATCATCAGTGAACAATGCTACCTTTAATGTGAGAATTTCTGGAAGATCGTTAATGTAAATGAAAAAAAGTATAGGGTCAAGGATAGAATATTGAGGAACCCCTGAAGTCACAGGAAATGAAGATGAATGCTGTCCATCGAGAACAACTTTTATTTCGAGATTGGTAAGGAAGGAATCAATAGTCAATTACCTAATACACCGTAAGAAAAAAGCTTATGGAGAAGACCAGCATGCCAAACTTTAAAAAAGGCTTTGAATATGCACGTCCTAAACGCGAAAAAGTAAATACTTTACGATATCCGAGTTTATATCCCGTTTTACATAATTAATGTTATTTTTTCTATGACATGCACATTTCATTAAAATGTTCTCATTGCTCTCTTAATCCATGTTGAGCAGGGCCGACGACACGGGTTTCGAAGTGGGGGAGGAGGGCACAATCGTCAATTTCTAAAAAAATGTTCTCTATATCAAGAGTTTGCTAAAATAAAAAAAAAAAACATTTAAAAAAAACAGGATGAGGGCACGTGTCCCACAGACCCCCTTGGTGTGGTCGACCCTGTTGAGCAATGATAAACACTCGCCGTATACCAATTCTCGTGTATCTTATAAAAATATTTGTCTGTAATAGTAAAAAAATTCTTATTGCAGCATCTAACCGCAGGGAAAACCATGCACACACTAATATTTTGCTATTAAGACGTGTCCTTTATCAATAGTCTCTAAAAGACATTTATATGTCAAAGGGTAGCCACACTTGTCTAACCATTTAGTGATAACATGGTATATTCTATCTTTTACCGCGGCACAAGTGAATCGATGCATAAATGAAATAATATGGTATTAACAACGCTTGAAAGCAAAAGTAAAAAAGGATTGTCCCACAAGCACCTTTCATCTGATAGATATCTCACGATGTGAAACACCTGCCTTAAAAACCCTTACCATCCAACCGGAGACATTTTGTGTGTGAGAGAGGGGGGTAATGCTTAAATAAATTTCTCAAGAATTCAAGATTTT